ACTTGCTTAGTCCAGGCTGTCCGCACTTTTGATCTATATCATTTAAATATACTGGCTTAGGCTAGCTAAGCATAACACATCCCAAGCAGCTTAAGGGGTGAGGCCATGCACCTTTGGTGTCTTGTATTGATGCTAGAGCTGAATTTGGTTCAACTCTAGTGTAAATAAAACACACATCAAAAGGTAAATCACCCACGCTTTTGATTAAAATCGATGTCATTCAACAATTGTCATTCTGCTATGATTTGGATGCAGAACAGCACATGGGGCAAAAATGTTATTAAACACCATCTTTACAATTTTTTATTGGCAAAGCCGCCCAGTACATGTACATGTTAACTTACTATTGTATTATGTGATAATTGAAACAAGTAGATACTGTTAGTAGGTGCATTGATACCATCAGTCATCAATCCTCCATACATAATTCCTTTATTATGATTGATCCTTTCAACTGTAAAGTCACTAGTTGGTGGACAACACTGTCCACTGACAGATGGAACAGCCCATTGTCCTAAAGACAAATGCCATATCAGTAACTAGACCATTGATGTGTCAAACTTTTACTATAAAAAATGGAACACATAATATAGACCACACTAGGCGTGAATTGGAAAGTTATAAATTTCATTAATTTTGTATACAATATCTGCCCACACGTCATAATTGGCTGCCATTTTGGTTGACAAGTTTGTTAAGGAAGTCAATAGAGGCAGAATAAAAATGCCTCACTTACTGTAAGGGGGGTAATTTTCGTGGGGGTTTAATTTTCGTTACTTTCGTGTTACAATTCAAATCCACAAAATTTTATATCTAGTTAATTATTTTAATATTAAGCCTTTAAAACCAAAATTTAATTGTAGCAGCTATACCCGGTATGAAATTAATTTTTATAAAAAAATTAATTTTTGGTAGTACCACTTTAGCAACACATTTCTCTAAAGATCTTGTACCAAAAGACTTCAAACTTGCTAGCAGCTATTATGCGATGTTTTTCCTTAGATACAATAAGTACTGTATAGCTTGATATTTTTGTAGGTCGATATTTTCATGGTTTGCTCCTAGTGGGGCAATTCGTGGTTTAATTTTTGTGGTTGACAGTTTACATAGCCTGTAAGGGATGGCACTTCAATGATTTCGTGGGTTTTAATTTCGTGGGCAGCCCATAACCATGAAAACCACGAAATTTACATTCCATGAAAATTTCAAGCTACGTGTACATGTATACGGTATCTAGTCAATGAAACAGCATAAAGCAACAGAGCGTCTGTTGTAAAGATACATACTGCTTTTTTTAACAACATGGACTTGGCGATGCAAAAGAGGACCTATTAGGTAGGATTTGAAAGAATGAAGAAGCAGAAGTCAGTGGAGAAGACACTTCGAGCAGAAACGTTACTGTGACTAGTCGAGACCATGGTTGCTAAGCCGTTGCTAGGCTAGCTGAAACTCCACCCATCGTGTATTATGGAGTCCTAGATTGAGTAGGGCTGCTTTAGCACTGAGCTGCTTGCTTTCTTCAGTTGCATTAAACATAAAACTTTAGATATACGATCTAAAAAGGCTGTTTTAGTTGCGTGATAAGTTTCATTTGCAAAGGACAAGGATAAATAATTGGTAAGTGTTACAAGTGAAAATGAGCTCTGATACTTTGAGTAATTAAAAAGGAGGTAAAGCTGAAAATAATACAATAACTTCTACCTAGATAGCAATTATAAATGGTACGTCATGAAGTTCTAATGATGTTTAGAGCAACTACAAAGAACCTACAAGGATATATGCTACTTCTGCTTTCGTTACTAAGGTGTTGCTAAGCAAGATGTGACCACACCCACCACATGAAGACACACCCCCAATTATTGACCACAAAAATTAAATACCACAAAATTTTTAAATTTAAGTCTTTTATTAAGAAACATGAAATATTTTACCCATGAAAATTACCCCCTTACAGTACATGCTGTAGTTCTATCAATAGCTAAAAGCACTTGTTTATAAGAAAGAAAAGCTGCCTTTAAGCTTCTCCTGTAAAGGATTTAGTCGGATTTGCTCTAAAATTCCTAAAACAGGTTTGTTTTTATGTTGGCCCGTTTGTTCTCCATTGAAAGTTGCCAACCAAAATGGCTGCCAAAATTAATTTCATCCTAAACTAAATCTTACAACTGTAAAAATATCAAATAATCTTCCTATGCAATCAAATCTCACCTAGGGTGGTCTATAGGTACATGTACAATGGGATGAGCTCGAGAAAGCTAATGGATTACTTGCACTTGTACACAAGTCAAGAAATCATTCAATAAACTCGACATGATACAATATGACTGATTAAATGAGTCACTCACCACTGGACAGGTTGTAGATATTCTGTTCATTAGTTCTAACAAGATCATAAACACCAGCCGTTGTAACGTATTTAAATTGATGATGATACTGTGTAATAGTTGATATAGAAGCCTCCCCACCAATAACCAGTAATTGTTGAGGTTCACCTTCACTTCCCATTACTATCATGCCACCAAAGCCTCTC